TCCCGAGAAGTTCTCACAGAAGATCGAGGCCGACTCTCAACAAAAATTAGTTATGCGATTTTTATTGAAGGATAATGCTACCAAAAAAGCTATGCGCACACATCAAGCATTTGTACGTCTTTCTTCCGCGTCCATAACAAATGATGGTAAAAGAGGACACGAAATTCTTTTTGTCGCCGAAGCAGATACATCGTATCTTTACAAGTTCGATATGGTAGTTATACACCTATTTCTTCATCGTTTTAGCGACTAATATAGTGACGTTAATATTGTTCGTATAATTGTTTCGCGGGTTAACTTTTTGCTTTAGCCAGTAGGAACTGCAGCAGCGAATTTCGATTATCAGAGCGGAGACTATAATGTGGAAATGATTATCGGTGATGCAGTACTGAGTAATCCATTCCAGTGGGCAGTAGCAACAGTCAATTTAAAGTTTCCCGAAGCATCTTCGACTGAACGGGCAGATAAAAGTGTTTCTTACAAATATAAATCCAACGTTTACACGACTAAGGCCGAAATCAAGGTATAACGCATGAGATGTACATATCATATATTTCATCATATTGTATATCTTTGCGAATTGTAGATTATTGTATGATTAATACAAACCAATGCTCGTTAGTGACAGCAATCCCTTCGCTATTCTGTCACTTCCTTAACATTGGAAAAGAATTATTGCCGTCGGATATGTTTTCTCGGTTCTTTAAATCAAATATCATTAAGAGCGTTTGCATTTGAATATTTCGACGGACATTCATCTAATCTTGAAGTTCTTCTTGAATATCGAATATATTGAAATATTCGATATTAATAGGAATCTAACTAATAGTAATATTAATACGTTACAGCACATGTTTCGCGAACCCGAAAAGAGACCTCCTGCATTTGTTTCAAACTTATTCACCGGTTTGTGCTTAGCACCAATTCTCTTATTGCTTATTTTGTGGGCTAAACTTGGAGTGAACATATCAAACTTTCCATTTTCGATCAGTGCTGTTACGTTTCATCTTGGACTGGGAAGTAAGTATTTTATCTTTAATTAGTATAGAATATCGATGAATTATGTGTCACATGGAGTGTGCCCATACATAGATGTTTGACAAATTATGACTTTTTGATTAATTTGTAATTACCTGGGCGTAGAAAAAAAAGGTGAAGTTTTCACAAGTGTAAACATTAGGTTGCAGTTGTAGCCCGTTGTTCACGACAAATTTATTGGCACTTGGACGGCGTAATGACATGTGATTTGTAAATAATTCTTAATCGACTTATCTGTTTCTTACTTTTTTCTGTTTTTCAGGTATCTTCATACTTTTCGGAATATTTTGGTTAAAATTAAACATGTTTGTTACTCTTCGATATCTTCTTGGACTTGGTATTATTACATTCCTTGCAGGCAATAAAATGTTGTCACATATAGCACATAAACATAAATTACGTTAATCGATTAGAGGAGAATGTTACCGTTAGAACTTTGGCAGGCAGCATTGAAAAGGATATATCGGCGAAATTGGTAAACGAACCTGTTATCATCGGTGTTGTAGAATAAATGAGGTTTATCGCGTCGATAGTAGCGTATAACATTCAGTTGATAGAAACGATAGTAATCCTATCTACCATTGTAATCACATGCGAACAAATTGAATTTGCGATTGTAACGAATTACTGCAATTGTTATAAATTTTATTTGTTAGAAACGAAGTATTTTTTGATACACTTGTAAGTACGACTATTATTACTATACGCGTGTTGGGTGAATGCATAGAATCTTATGCAAACTAGGATACAATTGCTGAAAATACTGTATTTCTAATATTCGATCGATCGTGTTACACATTATTCTATAATATAAGGTATACTCTATATAACAATAGGTAATATTCTATTAGGTCGGTTGGCATTCTTTATTTAGCATTCTTATCGAATCATCGGGTTGCTGTGTGTATTGGATTATAATCGTTGGACTTTGAGAATACAGTGTTTTGTGATTGTATGGTAATATGTAGAGATATTAAGCAATTTGGTAGTACGTAAGTTAACTGTTAACTACTAGTTAACATAATCACATTTTTGATCCTTTATTTGAATTTAACGTTTGATCTCGTATACGTGATATATGATTAAAAACAGATAGGCGTGAGAACGTGATTTTCGATGGTATCCACCATACATGTACTGGATGGTAGTAATAAACGAATTTTGAATAGACAATCATTTTATTTATTCATTAATACGCGACGGAGTACATATCGGACTTGTCCGATTGGTAAAAGATCGTTTCACAGATTTGCGTAGATGATCCGTTTGTGCGAATAACTGATTTCTTTTGATACGCAGCTCTGTGGCGATCAGTCGAGCAAAGCCTAATCGACGCCAAAAATGAATGGAACGTTGAAAGTCTTTCATAGCCTAGGAAAAGTTAAAAAAAAGAGGTAGTAATTTATATGCGCATATTTAGTAGACTGATGAAAAGTTATATATAACCATTTGAAGCGGAAGGATGTCATTATCGATTGTCGGTAATCTCATAGGATAACTATCCATTATTGGAAGTATTTTTTCATCTTGTGTTTCGTATTTTCGGCAAATTTGCATATAAGCGTGTATGCGTTCAGCTTTGGTCATTAAACTTTCCATGTATTTTACACTACGGTTGTATTCTTTGGACATTATCATTGCTTTTTCTTTATCTCTTTTATAACCTAATAAAAGAGTGGTTGGTCGGAATAATTGGTGATTTTTCGGTTTGGGATAAATTAGGTGGATGATGTACCAGAAATGAAACGCTCATTTGTTTCTCGATAAATATTATAAAAGAAATTTGATTCTCGTATAATTTCTTGTAATTGAATGGCAGATTGCTTCTTGTAAGAAGCAATCTTGCCGCGAAATTTCACAATCTCTTCGAAAAGAATCGCGATTCGTAGGTGTTGTCGAGCTATCGTTTGCTGATCAACCTGATCCTTTTTCTTGATCGTTTCATAACCCTTTTGGCGATCTTCTGTACCTATTGGAACGAAATATTAAAGAAAGGAGAAATAAAATATGGAAATTATGATATTTACGCACGTTTATAGTAGTGAGAGAAAAGGTTTCGCAAATGGTTCCAAAGGTTTTCAAGTTTCTTCTGAAGTTGCGTTGTAATTATCCTTTTCTCGTTCTCTCTATCCTCGACAAATGAGTCGATTTTACCTTAGAACGAGGTAACGCGTTAAAGAATAGAATGAGTGAAATTATCGAGCGAAGAATAACGTGTTTTCTTTATATTCGGCAAGAAATAAGTAGAATCAGTTAGTGGTTTTATAGAAAATCGTTTGATTCTCGATATTTTCTAAGCCATAACCACGAGCATATAAGCGTGGAGAAGTATGGATAAATGGATAAATATATCTTACTAATCGCAGTACTTGTTGCGATATTTGAGGTATTTTCGTCTCGGCGATTTCTAAGTAAATTGATTTTTCGTAAAGCAATTTCTCTCTTATTTCGATAATAATTAATATTTTCGGACTGGAAAACATTATCGGCTAGCGTTGTGCTGATATTTCCATAGAAAAGCGTATCAACGTTTGTTAGTCGGGCTTGGTGTGCCTTCAACGATCGGTCGATTATTTCTATATGGGCACCGTTCGCTGTTCGACGCTGAAGTTCGGCTTCTTGCAAACTGTCCAATAATAAACTGATGCTGCAACGAAGATGTAGGGAATTTCCATGATGTATGAATTTCAATCGATTATATTATTTTGTCGTATCATAGCAGTACCTGTAGTCCTTGAAATCGAAAGCATGTTCCAAGGTCTGCCAAGCTATTTCAATCTTCCGCCAGATGTCTGGCATTTGTACACGTGTAAGCATTTCTCTCCAAAAATATCGATAACGTTCCGTATTCAAACTGCCGAGCTTAAGTTCACGAAATTTCGTCGTATAATTTTAGTTGCAATCCTGTAAATTTTCTCTTCTTTTCAACTCGACTCGGTATAGTCGAGCGATCATTATAATCCTCTCAATTGGACGTTCATCTGTACTTAACCGAATGAACGATGATTCTCTTTCCTCGATCTCAATCGAGATCTTCGATTTCGACATTCGATATTCGATCGTTCTTCGATATTTCTTGTCAATCGTCGCAATGATTCTATTCGTTCAACGGTTATCGAAGTAAAGTTTGCAACGTGTCAAAAATTTGATTGTGTGGCAAATATACGTGTCATGTAAATGCACGGTATATAAGAATGGTAAGAACACATCGTTATAGGCTATTATTTAATATAATAGCTGTTGTTTAGATTACGTATAACACATTTATATTTAGATTACGCACTTTTACCTTTGTTTAAGGATTCTACCTGATACTTTTCTTCTTGCACGATTTATCAAAAATTAGCCAAGATTCTCAATGTCGTAAAATCGGAGATGGTATATTTGAGCGAAAGTCGATGATTGGCACACGATCCTTTTCTTTCTCGAATTTTCGATGGACCATGTATTTCTTACCGTGTCATAGACAAACCGTCTAAAACCGAAATTTTCATTCCGCTTATGGCAAGATGAACCGTGATATGCGATAGTTGTGACATTGAGAGTGAGCGAGGGAGGGGAAAAGAAGAGACAAAGAAAGAGAGCAATTTTAACCATCCGTAAGGTGAGTTCTGTGCCACGAGATGAAGTGAAGGGGATACGCCCAAGTAAAGATATCTGCTAATAGGCCGAGGATGAGAAGATTTGCGAATTCCGGTTTTAAAACAACGAGTAGTAGTTACCGATATGGAAGGGATAAAATCTGAGTTTCTTATATATAAAAGTCATACGGTTTCAAGCATTCGAATATTTCGTTCGTAACGAAACTAGAAATTTCGTGGAGGTTAGTCCGCGTTCTGATTCTCCCCTTCGTCTTCCTCTTCTTTTTCTCGCAATTTCTTCCCTTTATTCCCTTTGTAATCGTGACGAATTCGTTTCCGATTTCGTTTACTTTCTGCTTTTTAGATGAAGTCGCTACATCTTTTCACACTGGTGATAATATTGCTGGTCGATCAGATTTATTCCTCATCTCCGACCGTGTATGGGAAAGATGGTGATTTCGTTGTACATAAGGAGGATAAAACCGAGGGAGGGAAAGTTATTCGTGTAAAAAGAGCGCCCTTGATTAAATTGCCTTTGCTCGCGGGAGCAGCTGTAATTGGTAAGAAAGCACTTTTACTGGGTGGCGCTGCCGTTGGAGCTAAGGCTCTTGTCGGTGCTGGAGTTCTTGGAGCAGGTTTATACAAAGCTAAATAGTGAGTATGTTAAAGCAACATCACTTTCGCGATGTCCTTTTGTTCCCGTATTAATCTATTTATCATTATTTGTCATTTTAACGGATCCCTTCTGTATGTATCTGTAGTTATAACGGTGGTTACGGAAGTGGATACGCGAGCTACCAACAACATACGCCATACGCTTACGTTGACTCAAGTTGGGGCTAACGATTATTATTTCCCCGAGTTGTGCGTGTGAATATTCGTTAACGACTTGACGTTAATGGAAGGTGAATCGCTTAAAACTATATAAAAACTAAAAGCGACAATTGCTACAAGAACAAATGCAAGAAATCATTTCATCGTTACTCGGGTGCATCGTGTGCAACTTATATATACATATGTATGCATATAGGTAAAAGAATTAAAAGTTGAAAATTTGTTACGCGAATTATCTCATAAATCGTATGAAAATAAAAAGGTAGATATGAAACATCTTTCATGGTTATGTGTCAAGATCGTTCTATCCTTATATCCTATCCTAATATCATTGTTCCTTGTACGATATTATTATCTTTCGGTAGTTGGCTTTTAGTTGGCACGCAGATTTTCAATCAAACAGGATTCGACTTTTTGAAAGGAAGAGTTTCACTCGTGACGTACGAGATACGTTGAATCAATTTCGACAGGCGTGTCGGTACGGTAAACATTCTATACGAAAAGCCGAGTATGGCAAAAATTGAGCAACCGGTTCGATTCTTGGCTAATCGGTTAACAGGTAAAGCACGCAGTTAAAAATATTGCGAGAGAGATTTCCACCGATGAATACATAATGACATGGAAGCGGCACTGTAAGGGAGTATGAAATTGTTGGAACCTTGATTTAATGTATCGAAAGCAGAAAAGAAATTTCATAGCAACCTTTTCTCTTACCATACCTTTGCAAGAGCCTTTTCCTTTCGCTATTCATCATTACGATTCTTACCACGCATCACCCCGTCATCGTTCACTTACCTAACGCGTACAGTGTTGGTTCATCGAACGTTCAACATTCGCGAATGTACGCATGTACGCATGTACGCATGTACGCATGTAAGCCGAAAACGATGATAGCGAGTTCATTGCTATTCGACATTCATCTATTAAACTTTCGATACGTGTGATTATAGGTGCGATTGTACGTTGTTACGTACCAGCGAACGTAACGTGTTTCGTATTCTATTGTACGTAGTACATTTGCTCGATCGATCTTGTTTCCGTTCTCTCCTTAACTATTATCATCATAGATACGCAAACACACACGCCTAACTAATACAGTTAGGCAAACGCACACACACACACGAAATGATATGGACGACACGGACGTTCGCGATGCGTGTACATTTCCTTTTTATTCAGCCGTAGAACGAATCGTGCGAATTATCATATTTATACAGGTATCGGTAACGATGTCGTCTATTACAACTATTCGAAATTTGATAATCCCTTTAGTTAGGTATTTTTACGCGCAGGATATTCTATAACATTTTATTGTAGAAATTTCATGGTTGTGTCCCATATGTAAAAGTATGCCTAAATTGTGACGGTGTAACGAGGGATTTGTAAATTTGAAGAAAGATTCGAATAAAGCGATTAACGTTAGCAGTAACAAGGTAGAGAAGAGAAAGATTAAACAGCATACACTGTTTCTCTTATAAACATAAGAAACGGGAGGTTTAACTGCGCAAGACACGTTTGTCCATATAATTTAACGTGTTCGTAATAAAAATGTAATTAACGACGATTCGAACATGTTAGAAGTGAACACGAAATCTGAATATCAATTGAACGTTTTGAAAAATAGTGTATTTCATTGTCCACCATCGTGTTCGGTAATTGCTCCTTTATCGTAATTTGTACCGCTGTATTTACGCTAGACTTTATATTTTTGTTGGAGCTTAACACCTTCTTTAGCCACTACACGTTATCATTAGGTAAACGTCTGATCAAGGAAGTACGTTTCCGTGTTCATTTGGCGAGAAAGATCGAATTGTTACGTATAATTTGAAAATTATACTGACCGATTTTCGCTTTCCGCTTGAAGCGAATAGCAGACGTCTATAAATGATCCGGATTCATAGTAGTAGATCGTATACACCCGACGCTTTAAACTAGCGATTCCTCGATCTGCTCGATCTTGGGGCAGTAACAGTTGTGTCGCAAGTTGTTGGACGTGAAAACGGATTATGATGTTTAAACAGGAATACTAACGCAAGTTGGATTACTCGAATAGGTGGGAGACTTGGTTGTTTCGTAGGTAGAGGCAACTGTATATAAAATCAAAAGGGGCTCCCGGAGGAGTGACATACGAGTTAACGCTCTCTGTACGTTTAAGATTATCCCTAGACGCTTGATACTTGGTATATCGTATCAGAACGGTAAGATAATGAAAAATGCGCAAGCCATATTATGCGATATTACAATTATTTCATCTCTTTTGCACGGTCATAATTTGATAAGAAAGGTAAATTTGTTACCGCGATAGATGCATCCAATTAGCGTCGCAGTCTTTGCTCTCGTTTGCTGTTATATTGCACCATGTATGGTAGCGGAAGAAAATACCTTATCATTGGACGAGAATCCTTCTTCTTCGATTTTCGATCAGTCAATTTTGCAAGTGGAAAATGATGGATATTCAGGGTCTAATACGCTAAATAGGCAAAAAAGGACACTTTTGTTGAAGAAAAAGCTTATCGGTGCAGGACTTTTAGGTTTTGGACTAGGTATTGCAAAAGGGTAAGGAATGTTTATACCTATACGACGATATAATACAATGGGATCAACTAATTTCTATCAATTTCCATCAATTTCCATCAATTTCCAACAATTTCCATCAATTTCCATCAATTTCCATCAATTTCCATCAATTTCCATCAATTTCTATCAATTTCTATCAATTTCTATGAAATTTCTAACCTATACGTAACATGTAACATGGATCGGGTTTTTATATTTATCTTATATTACGAATTTTCAGGTACAAAGCTGGTCATTATAATGCTCCACAAGTTCATCACGTATACCTCTCACCTCCTCCAGCAGCCGTGAAATACGTGGAATACGTTGAAAAACCTATTTTCGTTGAAAGGATAATCGAAAGGCCAAGTTCAGTGTTTAAACCGATCCATGCCGAATACAAAGATCCTTTACCTTACGGGTAAGCGTGGTTTACGTCGTTTTTCACGTTAATATCGCGTCTTTCGCACATTAATCAAATTTCATACCCATTTTCTTTCTATTCTCTTACTCTTTCTATGCAGGGCCTGGTAACGTTAAAAACCACTAGTCAAAGTCACTAGGCAATCGCCTGGTAAAATCATCCACCGTTGATCGCAAAATCGTAAAATTCATCAGGAATAATAGTTTAATATGCTCGTCTCTTATTATAGCTTTATTACAGCGATTATTATCGTAAGTGGAAATATACGTGCAATGTATGTAGAATATACGATAATATAAAGGAGCACGCAATGTTTGTGATTATACACCTCCAAGTGTCGTACTTGTTTGTTTTCGCGAAAAAATCGTTCAACATAATTTTCTACGCATTTCTACGCATTTACATGAGCATAATTCGAGATTTATTGTATTACAATAGAATAAAGCGATTTAAATACGTGCTATCATGCTGTTTTATTGATCGGGAAAGTACCATTAAGATACACTTGCCCTGGGAAAAGATCGGAAAAAGGAAAGATATAGGTGAAAGAAATGTTTCATTTTCCTTCTTTAATCGATCAAATTTTACTTCCAGGTATCCAGGTATACACTGTACACTGTGCATTTATGACGGTATTCGTGGCTTCTATCGTAGATCGATCTATCACGTCGTTTCATTCGCTTTACCGTTATATCCCGCAATCACTCCTCTTGCCCCTCTCTATTTCAACCCCCGCCGGCGACATCGCTCGAACAGAAAAGGAAAAAATGTTATGATCGCACGGTGTTTATTTGTCAAATGACATTTAAAGAGCGCAACATTAAATAAACGTTCGTACTTAAACAACTCGTTATTCATCGCAATTCTTCTTACAGTACTTACGTGTTACGAGCAATGCGATGCCAGAGACATGTGTTTGAACATTATCAATAAATTTTCCTCACGCGAATGTCCATGATATTACGAATCGTATATTTATACATTATGCGCGCTATGCACACTTCTTTATGTATCTAACACACAAATTATTGCACATTCGCATAAAACACGTTCGTACGTGCTCTCTTTTGTCTTTTTCCGCTTCTACATGTTCCGTTCGTTAATTTCCTTGCTGATTTCGAAATATTAAATCCCAAGAATCCGCCTATTTCATCTCATTGTCACACATATTACTGTACATGTGGGCGCACGCGCGCGCCTCTGTTTTTGCGCGCGTGTGCGTGTGTGTGTATGCACGTGTGGGCGAGAGAGAGAGAGAGAGAGAGAGAGAGAGAGAGAGAGAGAGAGAGAGAGAGAGAGAGAGAATTTCAAGTTTTAGGGTTATTGTCAAGGAGTCGGAAACGGTGATGCGTCGTAAACATTTACGAGGAAAATAATGATTTCTTTCCTTTTTAATATACTGAAAATATATCGAATCGCGTGCGATGTCGTTTTGCTTTTTCTCCTCCACGTGTTTCGCGATACCAAGTATTTTAGCAAGATATCAAGAACGATTTTGAAGATACAACGTTTGTTTCAAGCATCGTGCATTATATGCACAAATACTTATTATTTGGTTTTACATCGAATAATTACATAGTACTCGTTCTTTCGAAATTACCGAAGAAATACGAATCAGGAGAAGCATACGGATATAGAGTTTGTACACGTTTTCTACGAATAGAGTATAATACGAGAATCGTATATGAAGGAATATTTTCTGTGTAACAGAGATTGTCATCCGCGATAATGGGTGTATAAACCGTTCCCTATACTTCGCGATTGTTCGTGTAAATCGTAGTTCGACAATGAGCTCAATTATTCGTCGACTATCTGATTATTGACATTACAAAATGGATGAAAAAACAATGAGAAATAGACAAGTATAACGTCATTTTCGCATAGACCGTATGTCCTCTGGTTATTATCGCGTTTATAAATTTAATATCGTATGATAATACATCTGATAGATTCACGGATACGTGGCGATTGTCATACTTTTTGCGAAATTTCATTCGCTCGTTTCATTCGCTCACACTGGCCGATATATCGAACAAGTGAAAGCTAATACTTTTTCAACGAAGTGTTAAGGATTCCACAGAGAGAGAAACAGATGCCGCCTGCCTATAATGTTGAAGAAGAGGAGCTGGGGTAGTTGGTACTTCTTCGATACGTTCCAAATCGTTTGCTGCGCCCGCGCTATTTTGTTTATAAAGTCTTGCTGTTGTATTCAAGTTTTGTTGCGGTAATAGTTGCTGTTGCTGTTGCGATTGTAGTTGTTGTTGTTGGTGCTGATGCTGCTGCTCCTGCTGCTGCTGCTGCTGCTGCTGCTGCTGCTGCTGCTGCTGCTGCTGCTGCTGCTGCTGCTGATGATGATGATGATGATGATGGTGATGTTGGAGTTGCTGCTGGTAGTTACCTTGTTCGATGAATCCGGAACAAGCAGTTTCATCAGGACGATCTAAACTGAATTGCCGTTTCAAGAAACGACAACCTGCTGTTCTTCCACCTAAGAGAATAACGATAACATGGTAATGGATGAACAATTGCATTTATAACTTAAGATGAAATAACAGGATGCGAATATCAAGATCGATAATACGGAGAACAAGAGACTTGCCATAATGTTCATTCGGGGATAAACATCTGTAGTGGTTATACGGTGTGCTCAAGTCGTTCTCATCGATATAACCGGCTATTCTTCGATGTCGCGTCGGTCCCGGTCTATAAGGGACCGTTGTTGAACTGGAAATCGATGTAAGGGAACTGGTAGATGCGCCAAGGATAGTTGTTTCCGTATAAAAGGCGGTGGATGTTGCTAAAGATGCTTGTGTATCACCGGAGGTACTTTTTGTTACGTTCACCAGACTAGTATCACCGTGTTCTCTTTCGCTTTGTTTTTCCTTTGCCGATAAAACTTCTAGAATGTTAATCGCTGATTTCGAGGAGGAATCGGAATCGTGGACTTTTTCATCGTGTACGGATACTGCAACCGTATACGTATCGGTACTCTTTTCCATACTTTTCTCTATATCATCCTCCTTTACGTTCTTTACGTTCTTTACGTTATTTGCGTTCTTTACGTTCTTTACGTTCTTTACGTTCTTTACGTTCTTTACGTTCATTACGTTCTTTACGCTCTTTACGCTCTTTACGTTCTGATTTCCATTATTATTTTTCTCTTCTTCATCTCCTTTTATATCTTTCCGTGACAAATCCACCGTGAGAGAACTATCGTCCGATGATACGATGGTTTCTTTGTTCGTTAAATTCTCCAAAATTAGACTCTCGTTCAGCCTTAGGTGTGGAAATTGACAATGGTCAAATATGAAATGTTAGTCATTATCTAGATTCTTTTATTAAACAACATTAGGAAGGATCGCTTAGTACGTACGCGCATACGTATACGCCTGTATACGTATGTTAATTATCATGGAAATAAATCTATCTAAATGCTCCTTTGTTTTTCCTTTACATATACTTGTATACCCGTACTAAAGAAATTTTCGAAATTTCAACTTATTCGAAAGTCATCACGTAATACGGACGATCGTTCCAATTGCATAGGCAAGTAAAACGTAGTGTACCGTTTTTCACTGTTACATTATCGCATTTACCGATTTCACTTACCCATGGTTTTCCCTGGAGATGGCGGCAGTATGGCAACAGATAAAAGCATTAAAAATCTGAAAAGCAAACAGCTCGAATGAAGATCTACCAAATCAAAGTGTATAGATGCAGATGCAATGAACTTTACCATGCGATTGGCCGTTGAAAATTTCACGGTATGAGGTGAAAAGAAGCGAAAGAGGACGAAAAGAGCCGAAAGGAGGCTCTTTCTTTGAAAGAAGGCGAAAGGAGGTGAAAGGAGGCGAAATGGTATACACCTACGTATGTATACGCTACATATATGTAGATGGTAAAATGTCGGTATTGGTAAGCAATTGAATAGGATATTTCGCGGTAACAATGCCTAACGATCACGATCGATCGGATCGATAGGATCGATCGAAGAAAATACGTTCTATAGAGAACGAATAGAATAGTTGGTACGAAGGGATTAATTATCATTATATTTATATTAATTTTTATATAATAATTAAATATCAATGTGCAAAGTACTTGGTCTTTTCGCAGACTTTTGATAGAAATACGCGAGCGCGTGCGCGCGTGTGTGTGTGTGTGTGTGTATGTGTGTGTAGTAGTAGTAGTAGTAGTAGTAGTAGTAGCAGTAGTAGTAGTAGTAGTAGTAGTAGTAAGTTTGCAACGGAAAGAGAAATTAGAAAATATACGCGTAGGTAAAGTATAAAGGCTTACCCGAGTGACGGTGGTGTTGGAAGTTCCTTATCGAAACCTTGTTTCCCTAGTAACCAATAAGTAGGCATCTTTCCTTTCCCTTTAACTTCTGTCGATCCACGGTATTCGATCTGATATCCACCCACCTGAGTCAGTCGATCTCTCGTCGCTTGGCTAATATGAATACGCCATGGTGCACCGGTAGACTCCATTCTCGATGCTGTATTAACGGTATCGCCGAATAAACAATATCGCGGCATTGTCAGGCCCACAACACCAGCGCAACATGGTCCTACGATATTGCAATCAAAGTTTCAATCCTAACCAAGTTTCATATCCTAACGAATATAATTGGCAACGTTTACGTTAAAGGCAAGTATGTAAAGGATAGATGGTATGATACTTAACCGGTATGAAGGCCAATCCGAAGCCTCAGTTGAGTTTTTGGCAGATGTCTCAACTTGAATTTTCCACTTTGATGCAACAAATCGAGAGCCATTGTAGCTATTTGAGAAGCGTGATCAGGTATTCTTACCGGACAACCACCCACGACCATATAAGCGTCTCCTATAGTTTCTACCTGAAAGTAAAGATAGAAAGTAAAGATGAAACGCCTGTTTCACGCTAATAGATCACCTTTCTTCTTTACAATTCGTTATTAATTAACAATTCGCGTTAATATCGATTCTGTTTCTTAATAATTATATGTACCGCCTATATTGCATCTGTTTCATCACCTTATAGACAGTGTACGCGTTAATCGTGGCATCGAAGCAGGTATATAAATCATTTAGAAGATCAACTACTTGGAACGGAGTTGAATGTGCAGATATAGCGGTGAAACCAACAATGTCCGAAAAATAGATCGTTACTTCTCGGAATTCTTCAGGATCCACCGGCATACCCAATTTCAATTTTTCCGCAACAGAGCTAAAATGTTGTTTTGCTTTTAATAATTGCTCATAATTATCGAATAATTACATTAAAGTAATTATCAATATTAGATTAGGATAGGAATACACGAATACACGAATACACGAATACACGAATACACGAATACGCGGGATGCATGGAATACACGGGATGCATGGAATAGATGGAGAGAAAAAGTATAAGCGAAGAAGGAAAGAGACACGTCCGTTTACCTGGGTAACATACGATTCAATAATTGTTCCGTTTTCTTCTTTTCCATATCTAGCTGTTCCGTGCGCTCGCGTATCAACTCCTCTAGATTGTTGGAATATTTTTCCAACATTTGAAACATCGTGTCGACGATGTTGACTTTTCTACGGACAGAATTAACAAAGGAGGCTGTGTTAATTAACTTTTCCCTTTGGCAGCACAAGTATCGAGGAACCAAGGACAAGTGTGTTGCACTTGTTGGATATTTTTATAAAGGGGGACAAGGATAAACCGAATAAAATACCTTCCGTGATTAAGCTTCTTAAATAAATCATGAACGTCGTTAAAATCCGGTCTCATGTCCGCTGCTTCTGCCCAACATTGACGCATAATATTTATCGCTTCCGGTGGTGCAGCTCCTTTGCTCACGGATGGTCTAATCAGTGGCGGTGGTTTCATCACCTTTTCGATAATGTCTACGATGACATAAATTTCATTGCAATCTCCTGCTGGAATTTCTTTCTTTCCAGCTTTCTACCTCAGACATCTTATAGGATAAGAACATTTTATAGGATCTTATAAGATGGATTTAGATCGATCCGAGGTTAGGGTAATATAATATTTATCTTTACATAGGATTCTCGTTCGTTACCTTCCGGAGATAAAGCAAGCATACAAAATGGTTCCCCACGAACCACTACTTCCTGCATGATAATACCAAAACTGTAAACATCTCCAGCTTGTGTTCCCTTTTTGCCAACATTCGGTTGCCTCAACAATTCGGGCGCCGTCCATAAAAGATCTGAAAGTATGAGATCTGTAAAACTTCAAATCTCCACTACTCGAGGATACTCGATTCTTGCAAGGGTGCATTTATTACGAGTTACGAGTTAAAATCCATCCAAACGTCATACCTCTAGCCGTCTTTGTCGGAGGTACGATATTTTGGGCTTCGTAAAAAATGGGCAGTCCGTAATCGGTTACCTTGAGTACCCAGCGAGCATCGATCACGCAGTTGCGCGAAGTAAGATAACCGTGTACACGCACCGGCGTACCATGAAGGTATCTCATGCCCTATAAAATCACATACATACATATACATTCATATACATCGTATATGACACCTTTTCCCTCTTCTTCTACTATCTTTCTACGTTCGAATTAATTATACGTCGATGATACGTCATACGACGATATAACCTTTTATTTACCCGTACAAGATCGGTAAGAAATGATAATCTAAAGGACCAATCAAGCTTGATCTCGTCCTGCACTAGCACATCCTCCAACGATCCTCTTGAACAATATTCGTAAACAAGGCACGGTCTTGTCGGCTCGTTTAAACATCCGATCAAGGGATTCAGGTTTTCGTGACGTAGTCCATGAATCTATAATGTCGAAAATATTAACGGAAAGTGTGAAACATGTCTCCTCTCGTCTTGCTCCTTCTTTTTAAAGCCTAACATCCTCCATCAGAATGTTATCCTTACCATGACTAGTACGTCCATAGTCTTGCTTTTCAACTCGAACGTGCCCTGGGTCGACAATTCTTTCAGTTGCACAAAATCACCCTGATCAACACGTATCAACAGGATTACACGATTGTCGTAATCGTAGTAGTAATCGGCGGCCCGTTCACAGCGATCGTATAATCCAATGTATATATCCAATGTATATATATTCGATGGAATATACATATATATATATATATATATATATATATATATATTGGAGGATGCACGTGGATCTTTGAAAAAATTGTGACGCGTTAAATTTCCCGTGCTAGTCCGTAAACATGGTTTTAGCGATGACACGCTTCCTAGTTGAAGTAAGTCTGGCTTTTCTACTTCGGGCCCACCGAATTCTTGCAACTGTTGCAACCAACAGCATAACATTGTTTCGATACCCTCATCCACCTGTACAATTATCTCAATTATCTCTATGTACCGAGACGTATTGATTTTCAAAGAACGTATTCATATAACTTAATTTGACTTTTTAACCTACCCTTCTAGAGTCTACTTGAGGCACTTGAGGAAATACGAAATCCGACGTAGTCAAAATGATTTTATACGGACCCTTGGACATTCTCTTCTTAAGTAACTTTTTCCTACAGTTGAGTATTTCGATTACGTTATCGTTATAACGACTACATTTATAACTGCAATGAAGTTGAATTACAGGCTGCTTCGGGGGCAAACGAGGTAGTAAAATGTATCAAAGATCCATCGTCTTTCATTTTTGCATCTCAACATTTCTTTCGATACTTCGACCCCGTTGCAATGAATGATGATGTTAAAGCAATGCACGTATTCGACTAATGAATGCTGTTCATGCAACGCAAAAGTTTGACAAATCGATTCCTTACCTGATCAACATTGCGATGGATATGGCGAGTACGGTAAGTAAGAGCGATCCCAGAACGATAGTCACGATATGCGTAATGCGAAAGACTGATTCGCCAGAGGTGTACGTACCTGTGAAAGAAAACATTTTTGCAAATGAATAAATCGCAAGGAAATTGTATTGGTAAATTTACCATAGCATTAAAATAGAATAACGACAGAGAGTAGCCAAAGTTTGCCTCCCTATTATACACACATATACATATGTGCATATACCTGGATAATTAGCTTTCTTACCTGCGCAATCGACAATAGTGATCCCGTTCGTGTCAACGTTACATTTTGGAATATCAGTGTCGTTTACGTTGCGAAACGCCACCGCGTTTGTGGATAACTTTCGAATGAAGAGCTTTTCGTGTTCCTCCACAGTGATCATTATAGGTTTCCAAATATCGACACGCCAATCGAGCATAACGTATGTATAAATCTTGTTATTAAACGCATTTATACTAGAGTTGTCGTTCATTAATATATTCAGAGTTTCGTTCAAATGATCCATCAATGTCGGTACCATGTAACTTTCTACACCCTCGAATACCTTGTCCACGTTATATCTGTGTACAGTTATTAAGGTTAAACTGTCTAATTATAATTATCGATAATATTATATCTAATTATAATTTCGTATACACAATTATCCATCTTTGTTGGATAAAGGATAAAGGATAAGGATAAAGCTTCAGCCTATATCGATACCTGCAATCGAGCGGTGTTATTGTCAGTAGCCTCTCTAAAAACGTAGAACTCAAGTTTTTCGGCGGGAAAAACCGATTATTTCTTTTCCATTTATTTCCTTCTACTTGTTCCGCGTCTGCCGTCACGTTATCATCGTAGTTATGAAAAATCGCTTCATCTTGTATATCGGACGAATTGGACGATGACAATGTAGCAAGTGAAATGGACGTTGCTAAATCGAAATGAGAAAAGGACGTGTTCCTGGTTGGTAGGAAGAGATCGTCGTCTTCCGTATGAACAATCACAGTCATAGAATTCCATATGGAATTAGAGGATTGCTGTGCGATATCTATTTCGGACAATGCACGAGTCATTAGTCCGTCTTCGTCGGACGTGGGTAGACATAGCACTGTAACTGCGTAATAATCGAAAGGTACAATATATGACACGATAAATCCTACCGTGTCACACTGTTTTATCGTCAGCGTAACGATGAATCGGGACGAAACGGGACGAATCGGGACGAATCGGGACGAATCGGGACGAATCGGGACGAATCGATATGGATAAATCAGAATGGTACGGATTAAAGGAGAAACGAAAGGGAATAGAAGAGACACGAGATATTCACCTTTACGAGAAACATTGTAAACAGGTCGAAGAATTTTTCGTATTTGTTCGAAAGAAGCTCGTTGCGGTAATACCGCGCGTCTTCGCACCACGGCTCCGATACTTTGCAAAGAGTTTAAGAGTGCCCTCTCGAGGCTTATCCATGGTTCGCGATCTGTAAAGTCGAATTTACCAATTTACACGTTCATGCCCGACTATATTCCGTTCACGTATACACGTAAAATTAATCAATCTAAACGTTAGACAATCAGATAAGGAGAAACGTAGAAATGATATTTACCTGTTCCTATTATCGCTACCGTTCTCCAATGCAAATGCATCAGCATCTCTGCAAGAGCTTTTGCTATTGTAGGTAACGACGGAGACAGCCTAACGATCGTTGAAAGTTGTCTCTCATCGTAGTCTTTCTGAAATAACGACAATCTTGATTTTTCACTTGGCTATTATCCGGCAAAATGTTTCTTCGCATTTATTATTACTCACACGTACACGCACACGCACACGCACACACATTTATAACATGTAAATATGCATACAAGGTCGAACGGGGTCAGGTCGAATGAGAGGAAAAAAGCATGCACCTGTGTATGCATACAAACGCATATACGCATATGTCTATACACAGACGTATATACACGTATGTACATACTGGTCTAATTTACTTACCAAAGGGCAAGTCCATGTAAATAACGGCATGTTCCAGAGATGCGCGAGTTTTATAGTAACCTCGCACATTGGCGAATCAACAACAGCTACGAGAGCTTTCGCTCTTCTTTCACTAAGTACACGTAACAGAGCATCGAGGCCCCAAGTTTTTGTTTCGCATGACACTAGGGAAACAAAATGGTAGTGTCTCTGGTTCTTTACGTTTCAATCATCAGATAATTGGAATAACACTGATTCACAATGCCTCAACAACTCTATAGAAATGACCAACTCTATAGAAATAGAGAAACAGCGGATACTTACGCGACAAGGGTATAACGGTGATTTGAACGTCGAAATTATATTGATCAAAATAATATCGTATATTTTCAGCTACATCAGTGGTATTATCCATCTCGTCGTCGTTGCAATGTTCTCTTAAGAAAAGCATTACTTCCGCTTGGCTTTCATTCCGATATTCCTCGGTTGTATCCGACAAGTAAGGAACGCATGGTATTCGCTCGCCACTCGAAAAAAGTAAACACCCGGGCAGGATCATGATCGAGATCCACGACCAAAGCCAGCAAAAAGAGTTCCCGGCCATGGGCCTGTAACCCTGTTTACCCTCCGCCTCGTAGCTTGCTCGTTCAACTTTCCTCTCGGCCGCTAGCCTATTGACCCGTATCTATTTGTCTCCGTATTCGTCTTCTCTTAGTATCTTCACTGTGCACAAGGTAAAACGGTTGCTTATAAGCAGAGCTTCCGATTCAGATCGCGTTTATATCTTAAAGACAAATTTTCCCCTCCCTTTCCTTCCCTTCTACCCAACTGAAATTTCTCCCAACAAAATATCAATCTTATTCTACGTGCCATAATTGATTGTCTCGATATCGCATAACGCATACGAATCAGATAGAATTTCAAACAGCTTTATATTTCTTACTAGTACTAATTAATATCTCCTGCCCCTCACCACCTAACACTATTCCTTGTCTGTAGAATAGTGCAACTACCAACAATACGTAACATTTGAAATATCATGTATCGATCATTGATCTCGATACGATGGATATACCACGGTTAGACGCGTTACGGAATCCTATATTTTCTTCCTCATTTCTCTCCTTTTAAACGCCTTTACTCTTCCTCTATTTATTTATTCATTTATTTATTCATTTATTCATTTCTTCATTTATTCATTTATTCATTTATTTACTTATTTACTTACCTACTTGCTTACTTACTTGCTTGCTTGCTTACTAACTTATTTATTTATTTATTTATTTATTTATTTATTTATTTATTTATTTATTTATTTACTCATTTATTTATATATTCATTCATACATATTTATTCATTCACTCATTCATTCAATCAGTTAGTTATTCATTCTTTCGTTCATTTATTTATTTATTTATTTACTCATTTATTTATATATTCATTCATACATATTTATTCATTCACTCATTCATTCAATCAGTTAGTTATTCATTCTTTCGTTCATTTATTTATTTATTTATTTACTCATTTATTTATATATTCATTCATACATATTTATTCATTCACTCATTCATTCAATCAGTTAGTTATTCATTCTTTCGTTCATTTATTTATTTATTTATTTATTTCTTTATTTCTTTATTTCTTTATTTCTTTATTTCTTTATTTCTTTATTTCTCCCGCATTATAGGGGCAAACTTATTTATGGTCAACTATCGGACACGCGCGAAAATATTGCCATCTATTATACAGGATAGGGTAAGCAGCAACAATTAGAGCGTGCACAATCTTTTCGTACAAAAAGGTGTATAGTTTAATAACGGTAGATTAATTTACTGTAAACATTTTCCACTACATTTATTACTTAACGATGCTAAAAATATTTACAAACAATTTTCTACCGTTGCTATCACGCATTCCCTATAATTATAAATTATCAGTGAACAATCGCAGATTCGACTAACGAAGAAAAGCAATTAGGTTCGAGTTCATACCATTAATCGTTTCGATGATTGCCGAATTTTCTTTCCCGAAACGGTGTAATTCGTCTCACGAATTATTTATTTCCGCATATTTTCTCGAAATTGGTCCAGTTACCAGCGATGAAACTGATTTCTAACAAACAGTACTAGAAACGTCTGTATTCGATTACGTATCGCATATGAAAAAATACTGCCATTTCCAGTCGAATGAAATTCATTGAAAATCAGAAAGCAGCAAGCTCAACACAAAATTCCATGTATCGAAGAAAATAAAATTGCAATTGTGTAAATTTGAAAGCGCAAGTGTATCAACAACGTTGATAGGTACAGTTAGGTACAATCCAAATTTCATCTTACCGTTTCGCTCTCCGTGACGAGGAACAACAGAGAAGAAGCAGTTCTCCCTCTTTCTGTTTGCATATATACCAGAAGGGGATGCGCGATTTCGAAAATAGTTTCAAAATACGCATATCGCGAACAACCAACAACCAAGTTACTTTATTATTATCTTGCAAAACTCGATTACGTTTACTTGACCAGAGAAATAAAACGCGCGTGAAAAAAGCAAATCTGATCAATCCAACAAGCACAAACGTTCTGGACGGCCCGAACGCCTCGGCGTCCGGTATCGAACTAAGTCGAATTGCTCCGTTCTACACATGCTCCAAGTGACGTTATCACGAGGTACCGAGACCGCTCGTCCCGGGGAACGAATCCAGCTAGAACGCGAGCCCGCACAGTGCCCAGTATCAGTCGCGATTCATCCTCCATTCCATACATGTCATCGTTATTACGGAACACGATAAGTTTACGACAATCATCATACTTGAAAAATATGTAATTGAACTGAAAAAGATGCAATTGATCCAGATGTATCCAGATGTATCCAGATGTATCCAGAACAAACTAACTCACAGGGCAAAAGTTTCAGAATCTATCGAAAATTAATATTGATAATTAAAATTAAATTACAAAAAAAGGATTTACGCGCGAGCAAAATTTCATATCGGCGTTGAATAGCCGTTTAGCATTACGAGATAGACCAGTATCGTTCGTAGCAAAAGGAAGGAATAGCTTTGGACTAGCTTTCGGTGATGGATTAGTTGAGCAACGATACAAACTATTTCATTTATTTCCGTCATCTTACGATTCGGCCGTGCAATGTCCAAATTTCAGCCTATTATTATACTTTCGGCTGGGTCATTTTCCCGAAAGTGAAAAGCTAGGTAAGCATATCTTCAACCAGAATGTAGACACGTAAAGCCTGTTATTATATTTGTAGTAACTCAGGATAATAAACTTGGGTTTGCCTTCAGCGTTCAGGGTATTATCTGGAGTGCGTGCGGAAGGATGAATGACCGAGCGCAAGGATCGTGTGGACGGGATGTTTATGCAAGTATCGGTTGCAAGTGAAGAGTGTCTAGGAATGCGTCTAACAAGTTGCAAGTGTAACGGGCTACGTGATCCGCTGAGGGCAAGGCTGTAAGAAGTGCGTGACAAAAGAGTGATTCGGAAAGAGAGCATGGGTATGAAAAAGGATAGAGTGTATGGTTTTAAATAAGGGTGCATCGGCGTGAAGCCAACAGTTTTTAGGACGAGTCTTGGCAGTGATCAGAACAGAGTTGTGTAGACAGGGATTATTAGTTGTTAGTTGTTTAGTTGCATTTTAGTTCTGAGCCATTAGTTGTAACTGGCTGAGTTGTTATTGTGTTGTTGAGTTGAGTTGTAGTCTTAAGTTGTATTTCATATCTAAATTCGTATGCTTAATCCTCACCATACATTCTTAATCCATTATTATTCTATTACTAATAAATAGTTTTATTATTTACCACCACCATAGTCTCTACATATTTGAACAAACTTTTCTTTAGCTACGTATACGAGTAATTGCAAAATCGAAGCAACATGTCTAATAATTTGAAAATAATCAAACTGCTACATTGATTTTCCAAACTACTCCGAGGGCAATACTTTCCTTTACTTGTATTCTATAAAAATCTCGTCAAACAACCATGACAATGACTGAAAATGAACAAGTAGAAATTTCTCTTTAGAATAGAAATTGCACATTTTTTCAACTGACATTCTAATACGTAGTGTAGAAAAAAAGCTCTAGCTTCATCCAACAAATATATCACAGAAATATATATTGCACGAGTGCCATTGTACAAAAATAAAACATGCGATATTTATTTCATTATTAAATAGATAATTAGAAATAAAAAATGAATGAATAATTAAATGAATAATTAAATATTAAGGTAAATAAATTAAGTAAATAAATTGTTAAATGTTAAATATAAATAAATATATTAAGTAAGTGAAACGAATTTTTAAAAAGTAAAAGTAAATAAATAATTAATTAAGTTGTTAAAAGTTTGTTTAAAATAAATAAATGGATAAATTATTAAAAGTTAAAACTAAATAAATAAATTAAATAAATAATTGAACGTGAAAAATAAATAAATAATTGGACAAGTCATTAAAAAAGAAAAATAAATTAATTAATTAAATAAATAATTGAAAGTGAATAATAATTAAGTAAATTTAATGATTAATTAAACGTTAAACATAAATAAATTAATTAAATCAACTATTAGAAGTGAAAAATAGATAAATAAGTTAATTTCGGCTTAATTAATTAGGTTCAAGTTTCGATGTAAACGTTACCACGGCCGAGTAGCAACCGACGTGTCCTGCGACCGTAAAGTACCTATATGAACCGACGGTACCCTTGCCCGTGGTCAAACGTAAATTCACGATCTCGGTCGATTTGCCAAGGATTTGTAAACCGGTTATAATAGTCATTACATAGTTCATCGTAAATATATGCTTTGTATAATTTGCAATAACAATATGTACTGTAATTTACACATGTACAATTATTTTTTCATAGAAAAAAGCCATTTACTTACACGTAACGATAGCTTTTAACATAGAAGTTTATAAAGCAACATTTTAAAGTTAAAAAAGGGAATAATAGGTAAAATTGATATTAAGCAAGGGGATCCTCATGCCTCATCAGTCATCAGCCATACTAAAATAAGATAAAATTCGCGTTTATAACAAATTCTATAAATTTAGAAACTTAATTTTCTATATTAGAATAATGCTATCTTACGTTTATAACCGTGCGGTTATTCAATTTTTTAAAAGAATATACAATCAAGGAATTGATAATGCTTATGTATTAAATTATGTAACTATATATATACATATATAGCCTTAATTACTACAATTCGAAAAAATAAGTCGAAAAAAAAAACGAAGTCGTGATAGACAAGGATCGAGAGGAGATGCTCCCTTCTCTTTATTCTCTTAAAAGCCTGACGAACATAAAGTCACAGATGAAGGCGAGTAATTTTGTTCTTGCTAAAAAGAAAATGAAACTAGGATGGTTTTATGCTTAGATACATTTTATTCACTTTGAAAGTTTCACATATACACGATAATTATTGACGACATAATTCTTCGGTTTTTTTCTTGTAACTTTCATTTTATTTTTTATCCTTTCTTCATTGCTCTGAAAATATAAATATGAGACAATCAATAAAAATTTCTACTTTTAACAACCTATTTATAACTAACTCTTTCTCTTTCTTTATAACTTGTAATTCTTTTGGAGCTTTTACTTCGGCGTCGCTTTCTCAATAGCTACTGCGATGTTGCGTCCTTCCTTTATTTGTAAGTCTAGGTGGTTGAACAGTTTGTTGCGAGCTTAATTTTGGATCAGTTAAATGATCATGAGCTGATTTGCTCTTACCACTAATCTCTTTATTTAATTTCACAGATTCTTCTTCACCTTCCTCTGCTTCTTCACCAAATGATAAAAGATTGAAATCTCTGTAACAAAATTTTTCATTGCAAAGAACAATACTGTGAGGGCTAAATTTTGCAAATATATACGATTTTTACTTTACCAATGCCGTTTTAGTTTTTGAACTGTCCTTTACTTCTTCACGTTTCTATACTATTATTCTTGGTATAATATGAGAAAATGTATCGTTCAATATTATAGTTTCTATCCACCTTGGAGGTTAAAGTGGTCTATGAGTCTACAAAAGAGAGATAATATTATATTTATATCAATTCTTGATATATTTTCTTGTAAACATAAAATTTACCTCATCTACAAGTGCTTCTTCCAGTTTAAGCGTGATATATATAGTTTCTCCAGTAACTTTACCAAAGATTGTATGTTTATTCTGTAAATCTGGCGTAGAACTAAGAGTAAAGAAGAATTGGGAACCATTGTCATCTTCTCCAGCATTAACCATAGCAATTAAATCTCGTGGACAAAAACGTAATCTAGTACGAAATTTGTCCTAAAACATGTATATCCAATAATTATTTTTGAATAAAAAAGGGAGTCGTTTAATTTTTAAATATAGTCGGACTTTAAACGGTTCTCCATGTATTTTACCACCTTGTCCTGCACTTGTGGAATCACCATCTTGTGTTAGGAATCTTTTGATAATTCTATGAAATATAGCGTCACCCTAATATCCTTCCATACATAATGGTATGAAATTTCTACATGCCTTTGGAGTTTCTTTCGCAGATAATTGTAACTGAACATCACCAACAGTTGTTTTCATTCGAACCTAGTTATAAGAAATATATTAGATTGATTAATTTAAAATACTTTTAAAATGAAATTAATAAAAATTTATTATTCGTTATTGTAATTGAAATTAGAAATTATTGAATAAATTAATATGGAAATTTAGAAAGTAAATATGGTATATCTGTTAAATTTTTAAAAACAGTTATACAATCCATGGAAGTATTATTAAAGGATACTTATTACTTTACCCTTAGCGGTTGGCTCTTGCATATAAATATTACTCATGTTTGTAAGTGACCTATAATAAAAAAAATCCTGGGTTAAAAATATTTCATATTAAATGTTTAGACATTTACAAACGAGCAAAGAAAATAGTTGTTTTCTTAAATAAGGATCAGCAGGTAAGACGTACCTTCTACCTCCTTCTAACATTAGCTTTATTGGCCCAAAGAATCGCACGCGCCACAGCCTCATTATTCCTGCTCCTTTTATAGTTTCTAAATTCCTACAGATATTTTTACACACCGGTGCCTTAATAGAACATTTGCACTCTATATTCAATTTATCTTTAACTTTTATACCTATTAACAAGCGTGGATTCTCCATCTCTGGAATAATTCTTATATTAGCATGTCCTTGCCATACATTCTTGGGACTGCTTTTGTTTGAACTTTTCTCTTTTCTTTACGCACCTCAGCACCAGGATTCTGAAACTCGACACATTAAGGAGGACGATTGATTTTGACTAATGATATTAATATCTATTTAGAGGAGGAATACAACATACCTTTTAATCTCAC